ACTTCTCCTTTACCACATATACAAACGCGTTCGGCTATAGGTGTTCTCTTATACCTGCCCCGGAGGAGTGCTGAAGGACTCTCAGACTTTTTCGAAAGCAGGCTTTCATGTGTTTTGCATTTTCAGCTGTGACGCTTTCTGTAGAGAGGTGTGTGCCTTTCCAAATCATGTCCAATCAATTTAATTTACTACAGGTCGACTACATTCAAGATGTAGAAACATGTCGACAATCAAGAGAAATGGGAGATACTAGAGCTAAATTTTACATGTTGTTGCAAAGGGTCCGAATATTTATGCCAATGTGATATTTCAGTTGTTTATTTTTAATAAATTTACAGACATTTCTAAAATTCTGTTTTTACTTTGACATTATGGAGTACTGAGAAAAAAATGAATTTCAACAACTGTAGAATTAAGTTGCAGTACCACAAAATTGATAAAAGTGAAGGGGTCTGAATATTTTCTGAATGCACTGTAGTTAACTGGATAATTTACATAATTCTCACACTATGTTCCACTATTTAATTATTATACTGTTTTTGCGCCTGTGAAACACTTTGACCATCACTGAAAAAACATAAATGAGTTCTTTATTTCCCATGAAAATATATGACTATTGCATGACAATAAACAGAAAAAACATTGCCATTCCATTCTCAAAATGCATCCATTCCTTGACTGAGCAAGAAAATAAGGTATTTATAATTTTAGTAAGCAATTCTTAAATATTATGTTTGAATTCTTTGGGGAAACAAAATATATTTGATTAGCAATTAGAGCTTACTTTTCTACATCACTCCAGGTGGTCCTTACAGTGAATACAGCCTTAATAAATTATGCAAAACTTGTTACAAGAAATGATGTCAGGTACTAAGATTTGGAAGCAGTTTTAAAATTCAAATCATGCAGAATTGGTGTCAGACAAATTTTCAGTTAAAGATATAAATGCAGTATTATAATGACAATCTGTGAAAAATCTATGTTTATAATAGAAAATTTATATTGTAGTTTGCACTTTCTTTAAAACCAGTGTTTCTGATACATGCTAACAGTCCTGTGCAGTTATTTTGTGGTAGTTGAGATGATTCAGTAGGATTCATATCACAAAATGCAAAACTCAAACTGAATTTTATTTCCATTTTCCAATTCTCAAGTTGAATTTAAACTTAAAAAATAGAAAACGTGATTTCATCATTCACACTATGGTCTTCATTGTTATTTAATGTGCAAAAGAATAATTTCCTCCATTTTTGGTGGACTTTCTATATTTGATGAGATTAGATTATAGCTTGAAATAAATTTTTAATTAAACCACAGAGAGTAAACATCTTTTGAAACCTGTACTGCAGTTGAATACAGAACAATTTTACATAGTGCAGCATATCAGTGTGATACAGTTCTAAGACCCTGAAAAGGTGGGAGATCTATCCATCCATCCATCTCATACACACTAATTTCATATTTTTTCAGTACATTTTAAAATGTATCACATGCCCATTTATTAGCATTTTAAGCATGAATTAAATAAAATGTGTTTTTTATAAGGAAATAAATAATTTGTTTTTCGATTCCAAATAGTTTTTCTCAGATGTGTGATAAAGCAATACAACCTTTTGTAGACAATCTTCAGATCTCTCCATTCCAAGAAGCTGCACATTTTCGGTTTTCGGGCTAAGACTGTTTGAACAAGTTCTCTTGTAATTTTCTTCTTTTCTTTGTCAGATAACGGGACATACCATTTTTGAAGTCTCAGTTTTCCCTGGCGACTAAAAAGCAACATAAACTGCATCTGTTGAATTAAATATAATATGTCATGTTAGCCTTTCTGCACATTGTATGCAAGTAGTCCTGAAGTTTCAACAGGTCAGTGACTTACGACTGTTTTTCACACTTATGACCATTGCAGCAATCCCATGGGCATGTGATCAAAGTTTGATTGCTTGGCATAAGGTTGTTGCAAAATAAGATGGAAGCACAGGGTGGCAAAAAAGGGACCCAAACTGTAATATAAGATTTTTTTATTTTTTTTTTACAACACCCGGTATGCCCAAATATGGGAGGAAGATCACTACTTCCATTCTCTGTCCTTCGGCTCGTCACAAGAGACCATCCGGGCAGAAACCCAATATTTTTACTGTTGCCTTTTTGTTACATTTGTTGTATTTGTGCTGATAAATTTGTGCTGATGGTCTCTTGTGACGAGCCGAAGAATGGAAGTAGTGATCTTCCTCCCATATTTGGGCATACCGGGGGTTGTAAAAATCTAATAGATACCTTTCACCCTGGCTGGGCTGATAACAGATAAGAGCCTGTGGCCTAATGGCTAAGATGTCTGCCTAACATGTAATATAGCCCAGGTTCAAATCCCAGTAAGGGTATGGCTAGCTGATGAGAGCTAAATAGCTTGAAATAGATCTATACTAGTCTCCCTTTATTTATTTATCAGCACAAATACAACATATGTGTGTGTGTGTGTGTGTGTGTGTGTGTAAAATGTTTATAGAAACTAATGATGAACAGATAAATGTTAAATAGCAATTATAAAATATATATCTGTGAATGAATTTGAAAGGGAAAAATAAAAAAACTTTTAAAAAAAGTTTGGATGCTTGGCAAGTGGTTCATATTTATTGAACTTTTGTGACCTTCTGACAAGCAAAGTCTATGGGAAAGCGAGAGACAATTAACAACCATATTACTAACTTCACAACTGCAGTGATTCACTTAACAACTGTAGCAAGAAAGGTTGTAAATGGGGCAAACCTCACTTAACAAATGTCTTCTTTAGCAACATAAATTTTGGGCTCAATTGCAGTTGTAAGTCGAGGACTACCTGTAATTGTGCTTTATGGCTAAGCCAGCTTTCTTGCACTAACATTTTTTTCAATTAAACTTTAAAACAGTACACTTCTCAAATTTTGTAGTGCATACTGCAATACTGTCTGCTCCAATCCAATATCCTTCAGGTAGTAGAGTCACAATTCTCACAATCTTAAATCAACAGTAGCACATTATACCACAAGAAGTTCAGTAGGTTCAAAACTATAGGATATGCCTCTGTATTTTAAAACCAAGTACATATAATAAATATCATAGTAATGATGTTCAAAAATAATGAACTAGTTTTATAAGTGCCCAAATAATTTAAAATATTCTAAGCTACTGCTTAATTATTCTTTTTCATCTTTGCCAGTACTACTTATATTCCTGGAATTTATTCTTTAATGTTAGAAAGTTTTTCTGCTACAAACATCTATCATTTCATGTAAGTGTTTCCAATATTAAGGTCTCTACTATTGATGCAGTTGCAGGTACACAAAATATTAAACACAATCTATTCAAAGTCCTGTATATCAAAGTATCTTAAATTATGTGTGGTATTCCTCTTGCATATTTCAAAACTGCACAGAAAAAAAATCTTAGGTAAAATCACCATCTCAGCCTAAGTTCAATATAAAGTGCAACCTATTTTGTAAGTAATATTCCATAGCCTTTTAACTGATTCTCAGAAAAAATGAGGAAATAGATATATATGGTTAAAAATGTAGTCACACTCTGCAATTATGTAGTATTTAAAGATGAGTCTTCATTTCAGAAGAACTTATCTATTTGCCAGCATATTATAGCACAATTATGGGACACATTCAATGCTTGGTTTTTTTTAAAAAAAGTAGTTATAATTTAATGAAACAATATGAGTGAAAAGTATTTTATTTCCTTCGGCTATCCTACCAGGAATGGTTTTTTTGTCACGAATATAAATAGCCTAGTGTAAAAGAGCTATTTTGGGAAAATTATTTTTCTATAAAGAGATGATTCAATATAAATATTTAAATTGAATTAGTAGATGAGAAAGCACTATAGATTCCGCTCAGCCATATTGAGCCAGTATTATTAAAATTACAATAAACAGTCACAAAATAAGCTACAATTGTGATTCAAGATTTTTTTGCAATGAAAGATTACTATATAGAATATTTTAACACTGAAGTAAAAAATGTTATATAGAAAAAGTCCTTCATCCAAAATAGTCACTTGTATTATAATTAATCATATCAATGTAGCCAGTTTTTGTGACCATTCAATATTGTTTTGCCTTACTTTACTCTGCAAATCATAGCCTTAATCAAAATAATCTGCATATTGGAACAAAACTCCCTAGGACATAAATATTTCCTTTTTTCCTAAGAGTGGGGAAAACCCTAAATAGTAAGCATCCAAGCTCCAATAGTTTACTTGGTCTCATTTTTGTCTATGTTGGCTTTAAAGTTATCTTGCCAGCTTGTATCATTAGGGAAAAGTTGAAAAGAAAGTGGAGCAGTGAAGCTACTATAATACTCCCTAAATGGGGTCTTTAGATTTCAATTATCCAGAATCACCATTAATTTTACTGTTTCTGCAGTTCCACGGAAGAATTTTATTCTCAACTGACTTGCCTATTTCGCAAAATAGCAAACAAGAAAAAGAAAAATAACTGGCCCGCAGCCAGATAACTCTCCTGTTTTCCTACCATGTTTATATTGCCTCCTTCTTCCGGAAGAAAAATTGTTGATCAAAAGACAAAACAGCTATATAAAGACTTTATGATGTGTAATATCTGAGCAGCGCGTTGGGAAACACCGTCATTAGCACTTGTTTTATATAGTAGCTGTGCTTTAAATAGTTCTGCTCATGGCACCCGTCATTGTTTATTTTAAATCAGTTTAGGTAAAGGGATGCTTTAGCGAACTATCTGCCCCTTCACACATCCACTCAGAAAAATACACGTAAGTTTAGCGGCAGACAGATCCAGCTTAAACAGGAGAGGGCAAGGAGCCCTCTCGAATACTTCGGCTAATAAAAGAGCAATCAGGTGGATCCCCAGGATTTGGAGACAGAAAAGCCAGGAGGAGATCGTCTTCCCGTTTGACCACCCAGTAAAGAGCACCGGGTGCCACGCGAGGGGCGAGCGCAGCAGTGTCACTCCTCCTTCCGCCAACAGCACGAGAGGTCACGCGGGTGCGGGGAACGGGGCCCAATCCCTCAAGGCTGGAGCCGGTTTTGGCACACGCGCGCAGAGTCCGGCACAATCCCCTCTCGAATTACACCTCCAATCCCACGGTGTGAGCGTTCACGAGCAAGTACGCACGGATCCGCACAAGGGACGAGGAGAGGCAGGCAGCTCCAGCCGCGCAGCTCTCCCAGTCACTCATCCCAACCTAAACCCCTTTTTTCGTGTACCTTCACGCGAGTTCAGAGGTGCCGCCGCCAACCGCCGCATTCCCGGCTCAACTTGCCCCATGCTTACCGTTATCCCAGAAGCGTTGGCAGGCGCGCGCACGGCTGAGGGAGGGGAAAAAAAGGAGGAGGAATCCCTTCAGTGCTCGCTGGAGAAAGACACAGCCGACAACCTCCCACCTAAACCACTGGACGAAGAAGAGGGGCTGCTCGCGGCAAGGAGCCCGAGAGGCGGGGCCGAAAATGAAGACGCGAGGGAGTGATACAGCCCAATTCTAACCGTCGAACTTCATTCGCTCTTCCGAACAGAGCTTATCCTGTCGAGAGAAAGAGGAGGAGAAAGGATTCCCAGGGTAGCCAATCCCTGAACAGAAAATGTACGCGATAAGATAGAATGGGTAGGAATCGGCGCTGGTACTGCCCGAAAGATACAGCAGCTTGGCAGGAGGGAGAGGAACCAATCAGAACAAGAGGTAAACGTAGCTTTTTTATATAGCCAATCAAAAGACATCAGGGAGTGATGTTAGCCAATCAGAGGCCAATTGGTGGCCTCTCTTTTTACTCATCCGGGCACAAACCGATACATCGATGACTAGAATAAAATGGGCATGCGCCGCTGCGACGTTTCGCTTGTCATTCTTAAACTAGGTTTTTCCAACACGTAATCGTTTTCTCTTCTTTCTTTTATGCGCAGATTTTTAAGGCAAGTTAGGAAAATTGGGATATTGTTACCAAAAAAAAGCTACCCAGCATAAATTGGGAGGAGACTGGCAAGCGATTTTACATGGCCTATGGCTAGCCAACTATAACTAATCTAGGCAGTTGTGCAGGAAAATTATTTTTGGTATGTGCAACCAATTATTACATGCAATTAGTTGCAGGAGAATATACAAATAAACGGCAAGGAAACTAGAAGGTCAAGAAAGCAATTAAGTTCCTACAGCACACACAGTTTTTACTGAAGAAGGTAATGGTGGATATTCTATTCCAGAAGAGTGTTGTCAATTTCCCTAAGAGCAGGGCAGGCTCAAATGGTTTGTTTATTACTAGGAAATAATTAGTTCCTGTTAACTATTTTGTCATTAATATATTATATGGATGACAGGATAATAACTTGTAAATAGAATTGGTAGTTTAAAATTTTGGGGTCCGGTTTCGCAAAGGAGAGGAAACAAATATTGTCATCATTATATTAAGCAATATTCAACTAGAACAAGAGTGTCAAACTCAAAGTCTGGGGGCCAGATCCTGGTCATCCGCTGCCCTGGAAACAGCAAAGGACACCCCTGTACCCCATTACTATAGAAATGGGAGATGATAGTGTATGTTGTTGTTCTATTGAGAGTATTGCAGTTCTTTGGAGCATATTACTGCTATATGAATATGGGCCCATAATATGGTATCACAGGATCCAATCCAGCTAACAGAAAGCAAGTATTCTAAATTATGTATGCATAAGTAAAAGTAATTACATAACAATATAAATGTCACCCAGGTATGTTCAGCAGATATGGCAATTAATATATTTAATTCACATTGTAAGCATAAATTCTCTGGAACACTTGAGATTGTTTTGAAAGGACTAGATTCAACACTTTCAAGTCTATGTAGCAATCTAGAATGATGAAATATATAGCAACAATGAATTCTGTGGAATTATCAGCTCTGTAACCATTTTACACTTATCAATGGTCGTATTGTGAGGGTTCAGAATAATATCATCCAAATTCAGAAATTGAGTATTGGAGGAGCTTCTTATTTGATACCTTGGAGTAGTGAAAATGGAGGCAAGTTTTCTTAGCTAGGAATATAAGATAGTGGTTCTCAACCTGTGGTTTGTAGAATCTTTGGGGGTCTTGATTTCATCACGGGATCTGCAAAAGCTTGAAGAAATGTTATGATTTAAATCTTGAGTTAAGTCTCAGCGGTCCATGGCCACAAAAAGTATTTAAAGGGGGTCTGTGGTGAAGAAAAGGTTGTGAACCACTGGATTAAGAAATGAAACAGTTTGCATTGGGTTGCTTAAGTTGCCAGCCTATCCAAAGGATGCCCAAAACAATATTTCATCAATGGAACTGGCCTGTCTTGCCATGGCAAAGAATTTCCACTCATTGCAAGACTTTTATTATCACAACCATTTTAGTTGTGAATGCCTATTCAGAGTGCTCAGAAATGCTTCCAGGGGTTTCAACACTGTTACGCATGCCATCGATATATTGAAATAATATTTTGTGGCAACAGATATTCCAGAACAAAAATGAACACAGACTGTAGTAAAAAGTTGCAAACATTTTGGAAAAAATGGAATCATATGCTATATAACATCAGGCTTTTATGATACATCTACTAATAGATGGGCTGAAAGATTTGCTCAAAGTCTCAAGAATGTCATGTGAAACATTCCTGAAGAAAATATTAAATAAAAAATTGTAAAATTTTCAATTTGTATATCATAGCAATAGTGATTGCCATAGGAAATCAAATATCAGTGATTATGTTTTAGGTCATATTTTATATTCATGTTTAGTCTTCTCAACTCTAATTTGAGAGTGTTCAAGATAAACATCTGAAAAAAAATCTACCCACAATGAAATAGGACACATGTTCATTAGACAAAGTGTACTAGCAAGAAAGTTCACAGGGAAGTATAAATGGACAGTGAAAAGGATACTCTTTTTTATATTGGATATTATTCCTGATAACTTTTGGAGAGAACACACTGACCATTTGATGAAAACAAATTTATAAAAAGAAGTTGTGCCTGAAGTGCTTGGAGAATAATGTCATTCCTATAATTCCAACGCTAGCTCTGTTAGTACTTTCCCTCTAAGTCAGTGGGTCTCAACCTTTCTAATGCCGTGACCCTCATGTTGTGGTGACCCCCAACCATAAAATTATTTTATGTTTTCCATTTTTTTTTTTGCAAATATGTGTTTTCCAATGGTCTTAGGTAACCCCTGTGAAAGGGTCATTCGACCCCCAAAGGGGTCCCAACCCACAGGTTGAGAACCACTGCTCTAAGTAAACACACAAGTAGTGTTAGGTAGATTTGAGCATTTCGGGCTTTATTGACAGATGTGCTCCTACAAAAACCATAATCACACGTAGATTTTAAACAGATCTGTATTTTGTTAAGCATTATGTTATTGTCTTTACTGATTGATTAAATATGACAGTCATTTAATGTTATTACATGATTACCTTGTAAAGTTTAAATATTCATGTTTAAGTGTTCTTGATGTTACTGATATTGCTGCTTTCATCCTCTTCCTCCTTGTTTCAGTAAATCAAGCAGCAGTAAAAGATAAACCTAAATCCTGCCTCTATTGTATTTTTGTTCAGTAGAAACAAAAAGGATGAGAATTTCTCACTTTTCCTATATTAAAACTTTCCAATGCTCTGGCTAATTTATTGCAATATACCCAGTCTTTCTTCCCTATAGCCCTGCTAGAACATAATCAACAAAGGCTTGGCCAGGCTGGCACTGGCAACTAACCTGCTCATGGTTCAGCTTTATTTTAATATATGTATCCCTTAGCATGCATGCAATAAGGTCATCTCTGTCACTGATTATTCAGATATCTAATCTAATTTACTAAAATCTGTCTTTGTCTCCAAACACAGAAATTAAAGGAATTTACAGAAATGCAGAATTTAAAAGTCTTATCCCAAAGTCACATTCCAGCTGATCTAATTACAATGTTTAAACTTTATTAAAGTTACAAGAATATTGCAAGAATTGTTCTTGTAGTTAATTCAGAAACATATAATAGGAATATGCAGAGGAATTTAAACTTGAAATATTGATGTTTTCAATTGTGTTTTAAACAAACATCATGCTTTGTGGGGTTTCTTTCAAATACAAAACAAATACTCAAGTGAAACTGCTCAAGTTTTTTATGCTGTTTTAGGCAAAATGACTGGAAATCATCTCGTCTCTTGCAATCTTGTCTGTAATATTTTACTGGCTTTGGCTGGGTAGGTGTTTTGAAGTGGATCACTGGAGCAAATCAGATATTTTAAGACACACATGACATAGCAAGGGAGCTTTTTGGATTTGATTCTTTCATTCATTGTGCCATTGCCTGAGTGCATGGAAGGTAACTTGCTACTGTTGTGTATTGTTTGTTTTTGAAAGATTTCTATGAGGAAGATTAATATCCATAAGCCTATGTGTGGGTTTGGCCTTCAGAAGAATGTAGTAGATGAAGTGCTAATGTAATATTGGTTTGATTGGCCTATTGAATTTAAATGAGATTCATGCCTATTACCTGTTACTTTAGTGATTCAGGATGGCTTTATAAATCAGCCAGCCTTCCTTTTCAAATACATTTTGAAAGCTCTACAATGAACACTACCACAGTGCATGTACAAAGCACATTTAGTGACCTAAGTTTAGCATGCCATTAACTTGGTGCCTCTTTTTTGCAAAAAGTCTGCTATCCTGATAGCTTCTTTAGTATGGTTGGCTGCTTGAAAATTAGTACTTTTGGACTTCAAATGCATTTTAAAACTAAAAAATATAAAGTTGAAAAAGAATGATTGGTTGATTGGCTTACTGAAACTTGGGATCTCATCACCGCACTCTGTATATTCTCTTCCACATTTTTGTTTGTAGAGATTCATGTAAAAATATAAGTCAGTTACAATACCAAGCTTAGGAGTGTGCATCCTGTTCAATACTCAGAACATGTGTGGGTGTCTCAAACAGGCAGCCAGTTATCTTTTCAATAACCTTTATTCACAACTGCAACAATATAACTAGTGTCTTGACTATTGTGTTGACTCAACACTAGTGTGTTGACTCAACACTAATAGTAACAGTAACGGAATTAGCTGCCTTCATCTGGCAGTTCTGTTTTATAGCCTGCTGTCAGACGGTTAGCCAATCAGGATCTGGCTCCATTCTAATGGCAGGAACGGACCTGGCTGGCTTCAGTACACAGCACATCTTATTCATGATAATGAGGTCTATTTGTAGCTGGCTGACAAACTGTACTTAATGAGTAATCTTTAATGGTACTATATCTACCCGGAGAGAAGTAAACAGTTGATATCACAAGGCTCCCTATTAGCCCACTACTCTTCAATATCTTCATAAATGATATAAATGAAATGGGGGAATAGAAGGGAAACTCATCAAATTTGCAGTGAGCAGGAGAAAGCTGAGTACTGGGGGGAAGCATCGACCAAGCCTCCCCACTGGGCTGGACCTCTCTGAGTGGATGGAAGAGGTCGGGAGCTTGGGAGATTCATTGGAGTCAGAAAGAAGGAAGACTGGGAAGGAAGAGCCAAAAAGGTGACCATCACCCAATGTGGCCAATGGTGAGAAAAGAAATGAACTGGAAGAGCTTGAGC